GTACTAAAAAAAAGTACTATGGGAAAAGGATGGACCATGATAATACTGCACAAGATTACTGATGCTTCCCTTGCCAAATTTAATCTTCCTGTCACATTTGCAGCTAAAATGATTAAAGAGCAATCACAAAGAATGATTTTCAGCTTTTTCAAGGCATGCTTATGAGCAGAGTAGGGATGCTAATCCAATTTAGAGATTTAGGTGATGATTATTTTGGATTTAAGTAATCTGCAGTGAAAAGGGCGTGCTCCTTTATATATTCTACTGGACTGATGTCTAGGGCAGAACTCCCAGCTGCCTGCTGAACCTAGCAAACCGGATGAAGAAAACTATCTACAGACTAAGCAGATATCTTCTGTTTCCAGTACAACAGGTTCCTAATAGTTGAGGAGGAAAGCACAACGTAGTAAGCAATATTTCAGTGAGCTGGAGGTTAAGGAAAAAACCCTCCCAAGGTTAGAATAGCATGTAAATGTACAAGTGCATGCCTGTGAGTCTGTGTGTATGTGTGTGTAAAAAAGAGAAGCAATGGGCTTGCAAAAGAACAATTTCATTTAGCACCATGCTCTATGCCTCTCACTGAGGGGAACTTACAGAGAGAATAAACAGCACAGCACATGCCGCCTTAACTTAGATTAGTAAAACTGAGTACAGGGGAAAGGCAGGAGGGAGACAATTTGCATAAGAGACACTGCACCCCACATCTTTGATCCTGAAGCTTTCACATCCCTTTGGGATGATTTATCTACCATTCCCTCTCTGCTGAGAACTACTTTCTGACACGTTTTCTTTACTGGGAATTCATAGCTGGTAAAAATCTCATGCAATCTTTTTCTATAGAGAAAAAAGTTTTCTGGATTAGTTGAACTAGTTTTCAAAGGGAGACTGAGCTTCATGCATAAAACAAACCATGTTTCTATAAAAGTTGGCTTCCTGTTTTATAAAAATGATTTCTGTGCTCCTAGATAGGGCTTTAATTATGAAACTGTTCTGTCTCATTTACAGAATGCTACTAGGAATCTTTCATTTGGAATCTGAGGGTATTCTTGTCTTTTTTTATTTGCCAGGATATTCCTATGGGAATTGCTATATATTGGCTTTTGACTGGCAGCATTGGGATCCTTCTACACAGAAGCACCTAACACTATGAAAAGAATTGCAGGTACAAAATGTTCAAGGTGTATAAAACCAGCCAACTAGGAGGAAGAACGTATCTTCTCTCAGTATCAATGTTTCTACAACTGAACTACATTCTGTTGCTTTATGGCTGACCCTATACAAATTTTTAAGTTTCAGAATGTTGGCCTGATCTTTGCTGAGATGGTCTGATAAAGATTAAGAGATCTTAATTAATCTTAAGAAGATTAACAGGGAGTCCTTACAGAACAGGGTTAAAAAAAGACAGGTGCCAGACTTGTTCACAGCCATGATTACCAGCGTAGCAAAACTACTGTTCTTCCATCCTGTTCCAAAAAACTCTAGCATCAGAAGTTCCCATGACTGTTGCTATTAACTACCACAGCAAGCAAAATTAGGTGCTGATCTAGTGATCCTGCTCAGGCATCTTTGGAGACCAGGATATCAAGCAGGGATTTCTAGAACCTCTTTCCTAATTAAACTAATTGTGGGCATGATTTAATTGCAAGACAATGGGAAATTATTTTTCTGTCTTTCTGGAATCCATTAACATTTACATGCTGATGCAGGAAGCACCACCTCTGGATAGCTCTAATGTCTGTGCTCATCCACATTCTCTAAACCCAAGACAGCTGAGAGCAAGATGCTTCTTACTGCTCCTGAAAGAATAGCCTTGTCATCCAGTTTGAAAGCAGCACCAATTCGACGGCGGACCTTTGGGGGCTTCTCTCCTGGTTTCAGAGGATACTCTGAAGAAAGCATTCCTGTCAATTCCTGCCAAGAAAAAAAGGAGAAGCAGCCCAAGTCATTACTGAGTCATGCAGCAGGGAGGGCCTTATAGTTAGGCAATGTAAGGCAGCTGCCTTATGCAGCTGAAGTGAGTATCATGCAAGAGTAGCATATCTGTAATTATTTAATTTATTAATGTATTTCTCCTGCCAAGTAGGAGGGGAGATATTTATGTGATTTTTCTGCTACTGGTGCCATAATGATTTGATTGGCCTTGAGCACTGCATACCTGGACCTGGAAATAGGATGCTATTTGTTCTGCTGCCTCAAGCAGCAATTTAGCTGAGATGGCTGCTGGAGCTAATTGCCAAAGGGGCATGGGCAATGTCTAATGTATCCATTTAGCATAGCACCACCATGTATTTTATTTAACTTTTTGAATTTGCACTCAGTCACAGGGCCTGAAAATACATGTCAATAAAAAGAGATAAATAATTTCACATTCATTTTAATGGGATTGGTATGTAGTTAGCTTTGACTTTTTCTTATTTCCCAAACAGCCCTCAGTTAATTTCAGGCAGAGAGAACTATCATAAATTGATGATAGGAGAAATATCCAGGACTGAGTCCATTGCAAACTAATTCCTACACCAATTATTTTCAAAGGCTTTTTAGAAGTTGGTGATCAGTCAATCAAAGAATTAGCAAGACAGTCAGTGAACTGATCCAGGGGAAGAACTAGATTCTAGAGACAAAAGAATGTTCTTGAGGAGACTCCCAATAGGGAATCAGTTGAAGACAGGTTTGATATTAACATATTAACTTTTTTGTGTTATGTTTATGCGTTGTCACAGAGGATAACAATGGCTTGATGTGATGGATTTTATTTGGTAGAAATTTCCATATTCACATTTCAACTAACTGCTGCACACTAGGACAAAGGAAAAAAAGTCATCAGGTTTATTAAGGAACTTCAAGGGAGGCTCTTTAACTGTAGATTTAATTAAAAGATATGGGTTGCTTTACTAAGCTATTTCTTAAATGATGTATGAGCTTCTATAACAGACCAAGTGTCCATGAGATCCATTTTCCTCTTTCACTGTCCTCACACTAAGCCTAGGAATCACTTGATCTCTATAGAAAGCCCTTCCCATTTTCCATGTCCCTTCCAGACATGCCTTCTTTTCTGTAGCAATGCACCTTACAGGTCCCTAATAAGATTGACAACTCTACAACTTTCTTGGCCCCTTACCGCTTCACGCAAACACAGTCTTCGCAGTTCTTGCAAACAGGCTTCCAGACGTTCCTCCAGTGCCTTCTGCTGCTTCCTCATGGCTTGTGTCAAGTCCTTCATTGCAGCCATGGGGCTATCTGGTCCTGAAAGAAGGGGAAAAAAACAAGTAAAGTTTGATTTGTCAGCCAATGGAGAAAAGAAAGCAGGAATATTTGATTAGTCAGACAGAGATGGCCTTTGGCAGCTTCCTTGAGCCGCAGGCAGGAATTGCAAATGTATCTTCAAAGACCAATGACACTGTTATCACAAAACTGTGTTTAACATCAAAAGAGCTCTTCTGAAGCTCATCAGATGAGGCATGGAATGTGTCCAACAGCAAGGGCTGATTAGCTCCACTTCACAGACAATAGGCAGGTCAAGGTTGCTACAGACAAGATAAAAACAAGGCCTAAGGCCAATATTCCTAAATGTTAGGCTTATTTGCAAAGAAAGCAAATTTATTTATTGCTCTGTCCATAGACTGAGAAAGAAGAAATGCCAGGCACTGATTTTTAAAGCCTTAAAATAAAGTATCAGGGCTCTCACTTAATAGGATTCTGCTCAGAACTTCTTCCACAGGATCAGACACTTGGTTAGCTCTCTGATTCCTTTCAAGCCATATGATATCAGCCCATACAGGTTTGAATCCAAGAGAGCACTAACAACGTGTTCCATATACATGATTCATGATGTAGGGCAGGGCAAGATTCTGACAGCATACTTTAACTTAGGTGGCACTGAAGAAAGAACAGTCCTTATTCAGATGTGCTGTAGTATATTCAGCTCCTGGGACCTGAAAGAATTTTTTTGAGGAAGTAGAGGTTGTATGTTGAATTCCCTAATTTATTTGCTTCAAAGTAAACTTTCCAGGTGCAGATGGAACTAGCTTTCCTTCCCAAAATAAGAAATCCAGCTAGATGTGTCACAGCTGAGCTTTTTGCAGTTCCAAACATTTCTGGAGTGAAGAAAATGCTTTTTCATTATGCTTGTACTTCCTAATGCTTTTATCCAACAGGCTAGAAAGAAAAACCAGGTTTGCACCCTGCCCAGACCACAAGAGAGTATGTCTTGTTGGCAGTTGGACTACATCATCATTGGAACAATCCACATCAGCTCTTTTTTTAGAGCTACCTTGTGTTATGGATACCATGGTTTGTTTGTGAGAGTGACCAACCCATCCTGAAAAAAAGAGGAATCAGTGGGCTTGACCATATGTGCCTTGCCTGTATGGAGAAAGACTCTAAAACCAGAGACATATCAGAGGTCGGGTTTATGAATGCTGCCAGATTGTAAGATAGCCTGCTTTGTTTTGGCTTAGTGTAATGTGTATACTTAGCTCCTGTGATTTATTCAACAAACTATGATTAAAATAAACTATGGATCAGCACACAGCACAGCACATATACCATTTTCCTACCCAAGGAAGAATTTAACTGTATATGCATTGTCCTAGCTGATGTGTGGCTTGATTATTTTCTTTTCCTACAAAAGTATGCAGCTCAAAGCTTTTTTAGCAATTTCAGTGGGATAGCAATTTCTAAAGTTTAGAAATAACTAAAGAAGTATAACGCATCTGACAACACTCATGCAAAAAGAATGCCACATATTTCATGCTTAGGTTTCTAATGAAATAACTTCTCAAGAGTCTGCCTACTCAAAAAAACAAGGGATTAATTCTTCAATATAACAGCTGGCCCATATTTCAGAGCTATTAAAAAACAATTGTTTTGCAGTGCAAGATGAATGGCAAGCATCAGGCCAAAGAGAAGACTCCACCCTGCCATATCATTCCCTCAAATCTAACACGACTATTGATGTCACCAGCTCCTAGCTCTATATGTTCTTGTCTAAGATCAACTCCTATTCTGCAAGGTTGCCCTCCACCAGCCCAATGTGAATATTTTGGGCTATATCATAGCCCACCTGGAATAAAGTTACACTGATAAACTCTGACTGTTGGGCCAGCCATGACTAACAAAGCATGGGATTCTGTGCACAGTTGTACTCTGTGTCAATTGCAACAAATGACTGGTAGCTACAGCAACAGAGTCTGGCCTAATCCAACCTCAGTCTACAGCAAGTCACAGAAGAAAGACCCCAGCAGAGCATGCACTGTTGCTTAAACTTGTTGACACAGGAAAGCATCCAGGAGATGTCTGCATTTTTACAAGAAGAAATTCCCCCATTAGTCACTTACCAGACTGAATTATGATGCCGCTGTCTGTATCGCTGGTCTCATCCTTACTCTTACTCTTCATGGCCAAACCCTGGATGCTGGAGAGAGACAGTATAATCACACCTGGAAAGTACCGTAATGTCTTCTGCTAACACAAAAAGGGCAAGACTGAGGTCTGCTTTACACATACACAAAGGAAGCAAGAACAGGCTAAAATAAGGGGCTGGAAAGTGGCCTTCCACTGACTGTGGGACCTGTTGTCAGTACTGGTTATTTAGAGGTCTCTTGCAGAAGTTATACTTAGGGCTCCTATGTGGACCAGTCCAACATACCCAAGACCCATAGTGTGCTGATAAATATTTAACAATTGGCTCTGCCGGCTCCATTGCTGGTGCTGTGCTGTACCACTGGCCACCAAACAGCTGATTGCATGTTGGGCATCAGGGCTGAGCTCTGCTTTCAACTGGTTCACAAACTTTCCAAAAAATCAGTAATCAGCTCTCACAAGCCAATATGAGCCAGCTCCAGCACACCACTGACCAAGACTCACATTCCATTCCTGCTCTCCATCTTCCAAATTTTCTATTCAATAAGGAGAAATCATTTGACTGGGACCAGCAAAGGTTGTGCTGTCTACACTATCAAATGTCAGATTGCCAAGGCTGCCCTGTGTTAAATCATGTATCCTTTTGGGTAAGGAAATGGAATTACATCTCAGTGCCTGATCTAGCACATAACCTCAAAACAGAACAAAATAAAAAGGCCCAGAAGCCAGGAGCCCACAACTTGTGGACTTCTAATTGTTGCTGAACAACAACTCCCAACATCCTTTAGAACTTACTACAAGGAGTGAGGCTGCCGGCGGTTTATATTTAGAAACATCTGGAGGGCTACAGTCTTACCATAGAGCGAACTTGCTTTCTGTAAACCTATTAAACATACAGTATCTAATGATAGATTTGAAATAGGATAACCATTAATCTGGGATGGAAATTTAAATCATCCAATCCATGTGGAATACAAATTTAAATTACTCTGTCACTAAGATTGCACAGAATCTTAACTATAATTGACAGTAACACTTTGGCATTTTATAGTGATTTTTAAAAATATTTCACATATATTAGTTAAGTATTATTATCCAAAAACTGTAGGAAGGAGAGGGCTAACAGTAGGTGCCTCTAAATTAGTTCAGGGCAAAGTGAGAATCAAATCAGGATTTTCTGATATATAACCCAAGTCTCTTGGTCATTAGGTTCCACTCACTGTTAATAGCTAAACCAAATCAGAAAGCAAACTTCCAGTCTGGAGAAAATTGTGGATGGATGGATGGATGGATGGATGGATGGATGGAAGGAAGGAAGGAAGGAAGGAAGGAAGGAGAGAAAGAAA